CAAATGGGTTCCTCCAACAGGGAGAGAAACTCTTAGTCATTGTACCCTCATTTTGGCAAGGCCAGGAGTGGAAAGACTCTGTGGGCCCATGGCAGGAGTGGATGGTGAGCAGGAATTGCTGGCCAGCTGGCTGTGCAGGACCCGAGACTGCCCTGGGGCCCAGGTGGTGGCTGCAACTCATTCCTGCCCCATGTGGTTGTTGGATGTAGCATGTGCATGTGCAGACATGGCAATACACCCCAACTGGGAGGGAAGCAGGGAGGATAGGCACCTCTGCTTGCCTTTCTGTTCCGAGCGTGCACCGGGCTGTTGGGGTAGGAGTGTGGGAAGTGCCTCTAAGAACAGACGGAAATCGCATTGTTCTGAATGGCATTTCTGATGGCTGGGCTAAATGCTCACTCTAGCTATTAATATCTGCAGTTTGCAGCAACATCTTTAACATTATAAAAGAAGAGACAGGTACCATGATAGTCCTGGAACAAAAGAAGGAAAATACTGTGGGAAAGACTGGATTGGAATAAGGCCGACATTCCCAACCCTCGAGAGTGATGGGGGGTTTTTGGGGTACTTTCCAGCATCCTGTCCTCTGTTGCTGTGCCATTCATTCTTCTTTGGCTCACCAGAGGTTGGGTGCTGCATCTACCTTCAGTAAAAGTCTGAGGAGGAGAAGGCTCAGAAATGAAAGTGAAAGGTTTTGGATCTGCAATTTACTCATCTGCTAGGTATTCTGAACTTGTCCCCAAAATGATGAAGGATTTTTTTGCTCCTTAGCTCAACTAGGTCTGGGTTCTTGTCTCATTACCAGGAAGAAAGAGCCATGTGGCCATAAAAGAGTGAGGGGAGTAGAATTTATTAGGTGAAAAGGAAAGCTCTCAGCAAAAAGAGGGGTCCTGAAAGCAGGTTGCTGGTTGCCCCCTTCACAGTTGAACACAAGGGTGTTTTACATACATGCTGATGGGGCTGTGTTCCCTGTTTGTATAAAGTTTGAATTCCTGGTGGATTCACCCCATTTCCCCTGTGGGCATGTGGGCCCTTATTCTGCTGTGGCATGTTTAGTCAAAGCTCCTGTTCAAGTTCCCTTATCTGGACCAAACACATGTGGGAGGTTGTCTAGGGACCCTTTCCTTACTGTATGCCTGAAGCTGGGTAACTCCTTTCATTATTATAGCCAAATAGGTTCTTCTTGCCCGATGCCCAGAAAGTTAATATGCTGAGAACAGCAGTAGTTGCAGCAGAGATAGTGTTTACTCATAACACTTTAATTGGGAGGAGGATGGGAGATATTTCTCAAATCTGCCTCTCTAAGAGTGTGGAGACTAGGGTTTTTAGGGGTAATTTGGTGGGCAGAGCACTAGGGAATAGGTATTGCTGATTGATTGGGGATGAAATCATGGGATTGTCCAAACTGTCTTCATGTGCTGAGTCAGTATCTGGGTGCGGGGTTTACAGGACTGGTTGAGTCAGTTCCTTGGTATGAATCACGGTCCTGTTGGTATCAGGTGGTATGGCTGAATGCACGAGTCTGAAAAATATCTGAAAGATCAATCTTACGTTTTGATAATAGTGCTATTATCTAAAGGAGCAACTGGGGAAGACTTTGACTTTGGGAGACAGAGACAGAGTCAGAGGCAGGAGGGTTACTTAAGCCCAGAAGTTGGAGACCAGCCTTGGCAACATGGTGAAACGCTGTCTCTACAAAAAATGTAAAAACAAAATTATTCTGGCATGGTAGCATACACCTGTTGTCTCAGCTACTTGGGAGGCTGAATTGTGAGGATCTCTTGATCCGGAATGTCAAGGCTGCAGTGAACTGAGATCGCACCACTGCACTCCAGCATGCTTAACACACTGAAACCCTGTATCAAAATAAAAATAAAATAAAATAAATCTTGTGACCTCCAGCTGTGTGACTCCTGAGTAGTAAGCAAGCTAGGGAACAATGGCTGGTGATTCCTTAATTACGCTTATAGCTTAACAGAATTCAAGTCTTTACCATAATTGTAACCTTATGGACTTTCATTATTTTCACGAACGCAGTTTCCATCCTGAACAAAGAGGAGGGTTAGTTTTAGGCAGGGACTGTTACCATCCTTGCTTTAAACTATAAACTAAATTCCTCCTATAGTTAGCTTGGCCTACACGGGGGAATGAACAAACAGCTTATGAGGTTAGAAGTGAGATGAAGTCAGCTATGTTAGATTTCTCTCAATCATATTCTTTGCAAAGGCAGTTTTACTGTTGTAGGAAAAAGCAGGACACTTCTGAGAAACCAAATGTCAAAAGCCAAAATGAAAACAAATTTAGTTTAAAGATGTTAATTGGCTTTATTTGCAATTCTAGAATTGGATAACACTTCATTCCATAAAGCAGAATGAGTGTTACAGAGAGTGGACCAGAGGAGATTGATTTTATAGATAGAAAAGGGCCAAAGAAAAGAGAAACAAAGAACAAAGAGTAGATTGGTCACTTGAAAGTTACTTTTCTAGAAAGGCAAGAACAGGGAAACAGCATAATAAAAAAATATTAATATCAGGTTACTTAAGTTTATTTATTTTTGGGTAAGTGTTAAAGGAAGAAGGAAATTCATTATCTTGCTGACTGACCTATTTTGGAAATTTGGCTGTCATTTTTCTCTCCTGATTTATTGGAAAGTCAAATAACAACTTAGTTTTGATTTGGTGACTGGGAACTTCAATGCTTTGATTTAGATTTTTAGTTTAGTATATTGGGGCCTAGTGCAGGAGGTTCGCCCAAAACAGTAGATTTCTGTAATTTTTATTTAACGTGACAGCACAGTGTGGCTAAGTGTAGACAGCAAGGATGTATGGAAAAAGATGAAGTTAAGAAGAACAAAAATGCTAGGCCTTAGACCATATTAAGAATATTGGTCTTTATTTTAAAAGCTGTGGGAATTCACTGAAAATTCATTAAATTCATTTTGATCAGAGGATGTGGGCTAACTAGATTAGATAGATATTTTGTAAAGAACATTCAGATTGCCTTGTGGAAAATAGAAGTGGTAGGCTGGGAGTGGGTTGTGCAAGAGTAGATGAAAGGAGACCAGTTAGAAAGCAACTGTATTTATTGAAAGAGATGGTGATAGTTTAGATAGAGTGGTAACAGTTTAAATGGACAGAGGTGGGCAGATATGAGGGGTTTTGAATATAAAATAAACAGAATCTGATGAAGAGCTAGATATGGGAAGTGAAGAGAGGGAACTGTTAAGGTAAGTGTGTGGCCTTGTCGTGGGATGAACTAGGACTCTTTTTTTTTTTTTTTTCCCTTAATAGAAGATCACATATTTTGTTTTGGACATGTTTTTAGATGCTTTTCAGACAGCCAGAATAGAGTTTCAAGAGTCAGTTAGATACAGTGTTTTGGAGCTCAGAGGTAATGTTTGAGCATGAGACAAAAATTTACCAGATTTAATTCTTATTAAGTCATAACCCACGTGATACAGTCCTTGAGGAGTCTTATAGTCAAAAAAACATAGTCCATTAAAACCACAATTATTTAAAAATAATGCAAGTTCTTTATGCATTTCTCAAAACCATGAAGGGACTCTTAATTCCCAGCAGTACTCTCTAGTATTGCTCTTGTTCCCTTTCTCATCTTTTGTTTTCATCAGATGCAGCTGGTGTGCCATTCTTTTTTCAAAAACTACTGAAGAAGCTACCCCTCTACTCTCATCCAGGCTAGCTTTTATTCTAATTCATCCTTCTTCTTTTGTACTTTGCTCTGTATTATTTACGTTGATGTAACTGTTACTATTTTGACAACATAGGACCTTCCTTGCAGTGGATGATAGGGAAAGAAGCTGGTAGCATAAAGCCAGATGTTCCTTTGATGCTTTAGGAAGAGGAAAGTCAGGGAACACTTACGGGAACAAAGACGCATTAATGATTTTTGTCATGTAACTGAATGATCAACATGTAAGTAAAGACGAAAACCATGAGCCTAGATGAATTTTGCCTTGAGAAAACACAATCTGATCCTTGAGTAGTTCTGTCATTTAATGACTCAGTTTAGGAAGATAAGCATAGAGGAGACCGATTAGGATCTCTGTTGACATCTGACTGGAACTTCATAGCTAACTCTTGCTTTAGGCTGCAGCCTAGGCATTTGTTTCTTTGAAAACCCTTTTTTGACATTTCATTTCCAGGTTAGGTTCTGCTCCAGCAGGCACTGATTGCTCATTATGGTCCTTATCATTGCTATAATTTATTTAATTGCATGTGGTCCCCAATAGACTCTAACCTCTGGGAGGAGGAGAGACAAGTTCTTCATTTTAACCCCAGTAAGTGTAATCTTTTATGTAGTGGATCGCAATAAGCATTTGTTTAATTCAGGCAGGTATTCTCATTTGGCTCATTAGGTTTCATAATGTGTATGTCAATATTTTCTACTTAGCTTACTGTCAAAATATATAGATCCGCTCTTTAGAAAACAACATAAAATAGCTGTACTCCAGCTTCTTATATCAGATTATGACTTTGACCTCTCTGTCACCTAATACTTATAAAAACTTTGGGGGAAATAAAATTTATGAAGGACTGCAATGTACTTAGACCATATAATTTTCACACTCTTAGAATTACTCTTACACATGTTTCACTGATATTCCATAGCTTATATAGAGGAATATTAAAAGTAATGCCACTTTGAAACTGGTTATTGTGTTTACTCCAGAGATGGAGGAGGAAGTGGTAATTTACTATCTTACCAGTTTATGAGGACTAATAGTATTTTTTTCTTTTTTTTCCTTTTTTTTTTTTTGAGACAGAGTCTTGCTCTGTTGCCCAGGCTGGAGTGTAGTGGCTCAATCTCGGCTGACTGCAAGCTCTGCCTCCGGGGTTCACGCCATTCTCCTGCCTCAGCCTCCTGAGTAGCTGGGACTACAGGCGCCCGCCACTGCGCCCGGCTAATTTTTTGTATTTTTAGTAGAGATGGGGTTTCACTGTGGTCTTGATTTCCTGACCTTGTGATCCGCCTGCCTTGGCCTCCCAAAGTGCTGGGATTACAGGCGTGAGCCACCGCGCCCAGCCAGGATTTTTTTTTCAAAGTGCAGTAGCAGGAAGGCTTATTTTGAATGACCAGGGTTTAGATGTATATGTGCGTGTGTGTAATTTTTGGTGGATATAGTGAATGATGCAACCATTTATGTTTCTCTCTTTGCAGTGGCTTTTAGGGAACTCACTGGTAAATTTTGTGGCCTGCTTATATTAAAGGATGTAAACATTGTATGTCCTTTCTTTTGAGTGACAGTCATACCACTGATTATACTTTTTTTTGGACACATTTTATTCAGATAGCAGTTTGATCACACATGATCCAAGAACACTCAAATAGTAAATAAAATATAATCAGATGTTAAAGACTTGTTGTCAAACGTTATAGGCAATGAGGCAATGCTTACTTATGATTGCTCCAATATAAAACCACATTTACACCTCAGTGGCCACTGAACCATTCAGCACAGCTTCCTTAACTGTCAGCTGTTAGAAGCTAGCAGTGTGAGCACTGTTGACTATTTTTTTTCAGGCTCTGAATAGCTGTCAGGATCTCAGTAGGAGTTGGAGGAGTTAGCTCAACTTTGGCTTAGTATCTAAATGCGGCCAATGTAGGCTTCAAATAAGTCACAGCAGTGTTCACTAGTGTTGGAGCCTCCTCCTCCAGGTTTCAGACAAATCGGACTATGATTTTAGGATGAAAAATCCATGGCCCCAAATGGCTAGCTAATTATACTTTTAAAATTCCTCTTATCTTTATTGCTACCTTCATCTCTTTCCTATTTCCATTTCTTTACTGTTTTACTTTCTGTACTTTCTGTACTTTGTAAGTCATCTCAGAATTTTTTGAATTTAAAATTTTTTTAAATTTTTCATATGGCATGAAAAAATTACTTGTAGACATCTATAACATAATGGATCTCTTATTGGTAATTTTTTTGGGAACTGACTTGGTACTAATTGGTACTAACTTTGATTTCTCTCACTGGATTCCTAGACTCTCCAGGATGTTAGGACAGGCTGTGGCCTGTGGAACACCTCGTCTTGTACATTCTGTTTTCTGAATAAAGGGTCTTCTTTGTTTTCCCTGCAACGAGTGGTCTTTTGTTCCTCATTTCTGTGGTCCATTACCCATTCTCCCAACCCAATGGCATGTCAAAACTATTTAAAATTTTAAAAAACTATTAATATAATTGCCTTTTAATAAAACTATTTATAATAATAATTATAATTGCTTATTTAAAAACTATTAATATAATTGCTTATTAATAAAACTATTAATATTACTCTGATTTAATAAACTGAGGTAAACTATATAATAAAAGTTATTGTCCTCTTTTTCATATTATGTTTTGTAATTTGAAGAATCATTTAAAGCTTTAGATTTATTCTAGAAAAGTCTATAATTGAATCATACCATGATAAGCTAAATCTGAAAATGTAAGAAAGTTTCTATGGGATAGATGTATGATGATTTTAGGCTTTTCTTCAAGTCTGGATTTTGTTTCCACTGCTATTTTAATGAGTTAGGAAATATGAGATATTTAAATATGATGAGGTGAAGTTCATTGAACACTTTAATGTTGGTTATATTATTTATATCCTCTATATAGTTTAAAAAACAACTAGCATATTTTATAGATATATTTGCAAGACTGATTTTAAAATAATATGTTTTCATTGTTTTGTTAACAAATCAAACTTTTCAAGCTATTTCTGACTGTTAAACCTTTCTGGAAAGTTGTTCCATATCCTTCCGGTCATCTAAATTTATCACAAGGTTTTAACTAAGAAGGTTGGTGAACCCTCTTTCCTTTTGATCTTGCATCCTGGCGAGTGCTTGAATATTTCTTGTGTAAGAAAAGTTTTGGTAGATGAGTCAGTGCACTGAGTCATAGGCAGCATGAAGCCTCTAGTGTTCTATACTAACTAATTGGAAACAGTTTCAAAATTAATTAAGGCACAGTTGTCAGCTCAGTGTTACTGATTGACATCCCACCAAAGTATTTTGTCTTTTGGCAACTTGGTTAATTGTTCTTTGGTATTTAGATTTTTGTTTTGCTTTATAGATTTTTAAAAATCTGTTGAATAGACCTATAGTTACCATGTTGATTTTTATTTTTTAGAATCCTGTTATGAACCCTGTGTCATTGTGATTAATTTCTTCCTTACTTGATGCCTTTTTTTCTCTTAAAAATATTCAATACAATATCTTTTCTTTTTATCTTGCTAATTTATCAGTCTATGAGAAAGTCTGTTATGCTCCACACAAACCAGTTCATAAGTAAAAGCATATTGATTTGTTCAATAATAGCCCAGTATCCAATTAAACATTATGTTTTACTTAATAAAAAACAAATTAAGTGGCTTGCTTACATTCCTTTACATTGCATTAATTTGACCTTAATAAATTCATTAAAAATGATGTTTTTAAAAGTCTCTTCCTTTATTAGGTTCATATTTATTTAAAATAAAGTATTCGAAAGAAAGTATTTCATTTATATAAAGAATTTTGCAAGGAGGGATTGATTAGGTGTTCTTCATGTTTATGGAAGAATAAACAAAAGGAAATCAAGACCAGGAAGGTATTTTGGCTGAAGAGAGCAAGTATGTGCTGGCACAATGATAAAATGCTAGAATGGATTACTGAATAAAATAAGAAAAGAAGAGAACTCACATATTAAAGACCTGATAGGTCTCAGGCACTTTACATATATTATTTCTCTAAATCCTCCCAGCATCTATGAGATGGAAATTATTTACCTATAATCAAATGTGGATCTTGAAGCCTTAACAATATCTGTATAATAAACACCTAAGGCAATCTACAACAGCATTTTAGTGTGCTGTCTAGTGCCAGATTCAGGCATTATGCTAAAGGAAAATTCAGGAAAAGCATTTGATCTAGTTACAAAGTAGACAATCTTTAGGGCAATAAGTGGATTACACATCCTTCAGTCATTCCTCTGAAACATTTCTTTTAAAGTTATTGATTGAAATTGAGACACATTTTATAATTGATGACATGCTATAATTTAATTGGCAGTATCTTTTCTTCATGATATGTAAAATTAATGCTGCATCGCATAATCAGTATCATCTTAGATTTGATAGAGTACAGTAGATGGTCGGTCTTTGATGGAATACCATATATGATCTTTATCACTCATTAGAAAACTTTAAGAACAATGGTAACCTATTGGTTTTTTGTTCATTATCCCTGAGTTCTGATGAGATGATCTTTGAAAAATTCTGTGGTCAAATGTGTTTTAAAAATACAGCATAATCTATTCTTCTCCTGGAGATTTTCAGTGCAAAATAACATATAAGAATTCTAGTAAAACAAACGAACAAACAAACAAACAAAAAAACAACATTTTTACCTTTGTTTAACCCATTGTACAAACTTATTTGATCATATATTTCCTCCACCCTGACAAACTCTTTTTTACTTACCTAGTTTTCAAAGGACATTATGCATGTGCCTGAGGAGTTTAATGCTTTATCTAACTTTGGGAAATGCTGGGTTACTTGGTCTTTTACCTAAAATTGAGTATTACCAGTTAGAGTCTAAATCTTTCTGAGGGTCCACACAGTTTTCTCTCCAGTCTTCTTATCCAACCTCATTTTATTTATGTATATTTTGCTCATAGGTTGGCCAGACCCGCATTACCAATTTCTTATTTTTTGTTTCAACTTTTACTTCTTGAGTCATATCTTGGTATATAGTTTTTCATTTACTAATAAATTGTGATATTTGAAATTTATTAACTGGATGTTTAGAGTTTCATTAAAGATTCTAAATAGAGAATTAATGGTCATGTATAAATTGGAAAGGAAAAAAAATCAATTTTTCTGACATTTTATGATACCTAAAAGTCAGTAGGTTATGGTAGCCTTATTTCCACGTTACGCTGATTGCTTCACAGGTACAACATTTTTCTTCTACAAAGATTCTCTGAAGAGTGAATCTCCCTTTCCTGCTATTTTTCTTGTTTCTTTCTTCACTCCCTGGCCGTCACATCTTCCTTCCCCACTTCCCTCTACCTTCTCTCAAAAATCTGGACTCAACTTATTTACTGATTCGATGTTCTTTCAGCATTATTTAATTCTTTAATATTGGGTCATGCTTATTTCCAATTATATTTTCCATTTTTATAATTTTGCTTCTCTAGCCCTACTTTTAGCACTTGACAAGCGAACTTGTCTAAGTCTTTGGCTTTTTATACCTAAGCTAAATGAGCTACTATTTACCAATCTCCCTGATTGTCACAGTAGTTTATCACATTTAAGTCACCAAGGGATTGAGATAAGCTGATTTTATTTCAACTTTTTCAAAATTCTTCCTTACCTATGGTATTCGTAGTCATGGTCTATGCTTGTGGTGGTCAGTCCTGTCAAGTAGTATTCTTAAGTTTGTTTTGTTCCTATCACTGTGCTAACCATCTTAGACTTTATATATTCTGTGTTTTTAAACACTCTGATCTCAGTGAGGAAAAATCCATTAATTTGTAACTTATTGCATTCATAGCATAATAATACTGCATTAAAAGGATGGGAAATGAGAATAGAAATGTGGATTGGTACCACATTGTGTAGCAGTTTGACTGCCAGACTAAGACACTGCTAGGCTAAGGCAGCTTTTCAGAAAGGGAATAATACACTTTATTTTTCTTGTTCTGCCATGTAGTTAGCCTAAACACTTGAATTATTTCAAGTAGGAGCTTGGTACTTTATCATCACGTCTTCTGGACTTCAATTAATTTTTTTTTTTTTTTTTTTTTTAACCATTTCTACTTTGAAGAACCTATGTAATAGGATTTTTCTGATAGTTAGATTAGAAGTTGTTCATAAAGTGTTTAACAAACAGTACTTGGTACAGACAGAGATGATAATATAATGACAAAAATATTGGATTATGGATGTAGCTGAAGTGTATGTGTGTTTGTGTGGCAGGGGTGAGTGGTGGGTGTTGAACTACCAAATCTGCTCTCATCTAGCCAAACTGCCATGTATCAGATGTACTACACCAGGGCCATTCTTGCAGTTTACATTTTTTAGACTGGAAATCAAGAGACCTGGGTTCTTACACCAACTCTCTGTTACTTTGCAGATTACCTTTCCTTCTAGGCCATGGTGCCTTCATAGATAAAATAATGAATTTGGATTAGGTAATTATTAGATTTAAAATATATGATTCTTTAGGGATAGGCAACGAGTGGCTGAAGATCCATTAAGGAGAACATGTAAGTAGGATCATCTCTTTTATCTCATTGCACTGTTTCTGATGGATTACCCAAAACCAAACTGGCATATGACTTCGGAATTCATTTGCTTCCCATAGAAAAATTATTTTCAATACAAAAAGGCCTATGTAGAAAAGCACTATAACAAAACAGTACTTAAATTTTATTTAAAATATATTTGCATTTCTCAAATTGAGAGTCAATAAAGAAAATTCCAAGGCAAGAAAGCATCTTTGAGATGCTTTGCAATTAGAAACACTCAAGGAGACAACTGAAGAATTTAGAAAAATAAATTGAATAATATTTGATAAATTTAGACTCTCAGCAAACCCAGGACCCAATGTAGCTTCTTTGAATTTCGAATATAGAAACTATAGGCCTGCCATTACTCAGGGTACATCTCTTGGGCAGGCAGTCCTAAACTCCTGGTCAGATTAGGTTTGAAATGTTTAATCAGTTCTTATCCACTGCGCCCCAGCCCTCCAATCTCCTGCAATGCTGTTTTGTGTCTTATTGTCAACAGAGTGGGGCTAGAAGATTTCCAAGATAACTTTCAATTTATTAGTTATACTGCATTAGTATAGTATTGATATTTTTTCGTTTGGCTTTTGTGTTTCATTGGTTCTTTTGTTTTCTCTTTTCTGTTGCGTATTTTCTATATTCTTTCTTCTTGTTACTGTCTACTTAGGCCATGAAATTGAGATGGATTTGTGTGAGAGATATTGAGGGAACAAAGGAATTGGACTGATGAAGCTTTGCTAACACCTCTTCCTCAAACACACAAGCTAACTTTATTATTTTGAATATGGAGAGGGAGGAAACGAGAAGACAAAAGGAGAAAAGGTGAAGATAGTGAATTGGAAAAGGTATTTTAAAAATATCTGTACTAACTTTAAAATGGGGGTGATTTTAAAAAATGAAAAATCCCTCTCCTTTATACACATATCCTCTGTGTGATAGAAAAAAAAAAAAAGAAAACCCCTAAAATTTATATGATTTCATTCGAAAGGAAAGAGCTTTGTTGCCTTCTAGTTATCAGTTTAGAAATCCAGCTCATTAGGGTCAGACTGTTAAAACCAAGAAAATCATTGCTGCCTATTCAAGAGTTGAGACTTTAGCTTTACTTTTCTGTGAGTTTTTATTTATCAGAGGTATTCTCAGGAGGTAATGATGAACCTGAAACTGTTCCAGCCTGTGCTGAAATACTCCCACACCATGAGAGTGTAAATTTATCAAATATTATTCAATTTATTTTACTAAATTCTTCGGTTGTCTCAATGAGTGTTTCCAATTGCAAATTGGAATAGATTTAAGCACTCTTTGTAAACCCATGCCAGGAAGTTCTTCCCATTTGAAGTTTTTGCTGTCAGTTAGACTAAGAGGAGGGAATTCCCATCTGTTCAGAGGCAACAGTGACCAAAAAAAAAAAGAAAAGAAAAAAAGGGTAATAAGAAAAGTTTTCCGTGCTTTTTGTGATGACAAGTTTTCATTGGGATGAGTTAACTCTATTAGCATACTTGACTGCTTAATATTCACCCCTCTCCCTTCTTTAAAACATCATATCCCCACCTTCTCATCTCTTACCATGCTGACTGCAAGAACCTCTTAACTGGCCACTTACTTTCAATACATCTTTTAATTTGCTGTTACATGGATCTCACTTTAGATCTGATCACATCATTTTATAGTGTAATGGTTTGCAAATTACTGGCAAAATGTACAAAGTTCCTTTACCACCAGGCCCATTTTACCCCTTCAACCTCCCCTTCTGCCAACATGCCCTACTTCCTACTTCCTACTCCATATGAGGCACATAATTTTCTTTTCGGGTCTCTGACTTTGCACATGCTTCTGTCCATTCTTTCTTCCATGATGGCATTTATTGCACTGTTCACTACCTTGTTTGCTCTTTCTTCCAGGATGGAGTTACTACACTTTTTGTAATTGTCTCTTAACTTGCCTGTTTCCTCTTTAAAACTATGGTGGATTCATACCTACTTTATATATTTCTGGCTTTTAGCACAGTACCTCTTTCAATAACTATTGCATTACTGTCCCTCCTTCTGTATCTTGTAATTTTCTGGGGTCTCAGCCCAACAAGGTTTAGGATCTTAAGTAGGCTTATAGCTGTTCTTTAAGACCTGTCAATTTCCTGAGTGATCCTCTCAAAAATTCTTTAATTTTTATACCCACTGTTATTGGTCCCACCCTCTTCCTTCAGATTTCAATAATCAGATACAGTTATTTGCCTCTGAAATAAAGAAGGTAAATTCCCAGCATGAGTGTCTGGTTTATTTATACTATATAACACTAGTTAGTGGATCTGGCATTTCTGCTTTTATTTCCCGAGACTTTTAGACTTTCCTTTCTGTCTCCTGGACCGCACCTGCTACTTTATGTACATTTTAGATAGGTGAACTGAGATTTAGAGGAGTGAAATGAGTTGTCCAAGATCATGGAGCTAGGAAGTGATATAATTAGTTTTATATGTCCTCAAAGCCTATGTGTGCTTTTTTTTTTTTTTTTAAATTAATTGCAGCACACCGCTAACCTCATAAGCACTAGGCCTAAGCTGCTCTCTTAAATTATCTACTAATGTCCCTTATGTTGAATTCATTTCTCATTTCCAAATGGATGGCAAGGAGGAAGTGGGCTTTAGGATATAAATTTTTTCTTTTTCGTCAATTTTGATGAAAGGAATTTGTTTATGTATTTAGTAATAGCCATATGATGGTCACTAAATTTTGTTTTTTAAATATAGTTTGACAGACAAAAAGGGAAAAATGTTATGAAACATTTCTTTTTTTTAACTCACAGTCTTTGAGGGCCTTTTTTTTTTTTTGTACATTGGAAAATAATTTAGAAAAAGTGAAATACAGCCATCTCTTGGTGTACATGAGGGATTGGTTCCGGGATCCCCTTGGATACCAAAATCCAAAGACACTCAAGTCGTTTATATAAAATGTTGTCGTATTTGTATATAGCCGTTACAGGAAAGGGGTCTGTCTGTATCCAGACCTCAAGAGGTATTCTTAGATCTAGTGCAAGAAAGAATTAGAAAGCACGTTTATTAGAAAAGTAAAGGAATAAAAGAATGGCTACTCTATAGGCAGAGTAGCCCTCAGGGCTGCGGTTTGGCTGTTTTTATTGTTACTTCTTGATTATATCCTAAACAGGGGTAGATTATTCATGAGTTTTCTGGGAAAGGGGTGGGCAATTCCCAGAACTGAAGGTTCCTCCCCTTTTTAGACCATTATAGGGTAACTTCATGACGTTGCCATGGCATTTGCAAACTGTCATGGCACTGATGGGAGTATCTTTTAGCATGCAAATGCATTATAATTAGCATATAATGTAGTGAGGAGGACCAGAGGTCTCTTTCATGGCCATCTTGGTTTTGGTGGGTTTGGGCCAGCTTCTTTACACCTTGTTTTATCAGCGTGGTCTTTGTGAGTATATCTTGTGCTGACCCCCTGCCTCATCCTGTGACTTACAATGTCTAACCTGCTGTGTCTCAGCCTTGTTTCACCCAGCTCCTATTCAAGATGGATTCATTCTGGTTCAAATACCTCTGACATAACTACACACATCTTCCCTTTAAATCATCTCTAGATTACTAATAATATCTAATACAATTCCTCTCTATCCCTTTATTCCAGTGGATTCAACATAGTACTCTCCATGCTGGCAAATTCAAGTTTTGTTTTTTGGAACTTTCTGGAATGTTTCTTTCTGAATATTTTTGATCCTTGCTTAGTTGAATCCATGGATGGGGAACCCATGAATACAGAGGGCTGACTGTATTCAAATGTGTGATTTATGCAGTTGGGATTGGTTAAATGGAGAGAGAGTGAAGAGATAAAAGAAAAAATTGAGATACATAGGTAGATGAGCCCACCAAAATATTGGTCTGTTGGTTGCTTGTAATAGAAAATAAAGAATTAGAAAACTTCATTTTACTGTTATACTTACATTTTGTTTGAGTGACCCAGTCTACTACTGAGTGGGCAAAGAATGTGCTTAGAACATGATGGAATTGGCATTTAGAAAATCCAGCAGATAAAATATTATACTCACTGACTCATGAAACAGAAACAATTAAGGTCCCAATTTAGCATTCTAAATTGTCCAGATTCTGGGCAGAGGATCTAATCGTTAGGCTCATTTTACAAATATCCATGTGGCAGAGTTGGAAGGATGAGCTAAGTGCAGATATTAGTAGTGCTGGGATAAGTTCAGGTTTAAAATTTGAGCCTCTGTTAATCTCTATAAATTGACTCATTTACATTTGTCAATTAATAGAGATATTAGAAATGTAAATTTCTAAATATCAATTGAAATAATAGAGCTGTTTGAATTTTCAAAGTAGGTTCTTACTTGATTTTTCTGTTATTGATTCTTTCATGTGTAACTCATAAGTGCAAAGTTTATCTTAATTTCAGAGGAGCTGGAAAGGAAATTAGGAGGTACAATTTTTAATTGAAGGGGAGATTCTAGCATAGTGGTTAACAACACAGGCTGTGGAGCCAGACTTCTTGAGGACAAATCTATGTTCTTTCTCTTTCTTGTTACTTGCTTTATGATCTTGGAAAAGCCACTTGATTTCCCATTGCTTTTATTTTCTCATTTGTACAATGTGGATAGTATAATACCTACCTTATATGGTAGTAAGTTCTTGGTAAATCTTAACAATTTGTAGTTTCTGCCTTGCCATTAACATGTTCTGTTATCTTTGGCAAGTAACTTTATATCTTTGGGCTTTGTTTATTAACTTTTGTATGAGGGTATAAATAAGCTCTAGTTTATCTTCTAGTTCTAGAACTGATTTTAGTAGAATAAAATAGGCATATCACAGCTTATAGAATAAGCGTATGAAAAATACATAAATTTTGTTATTAAGTACTTGAATAAATAAAGTTGTAATGTCAGAGGTCTATGACTTAGTACTGTATCCCTTTGGACAAGTTGGTTGGTTTCTTTAAGCTTTATTAGTTTTACCTATAAAATAGGATAATAAGAACTCTCTCATACAAGAATTGTGCTGATTTTAAGAAATAACACCTGCAAAATGTCAATTATAATGCCTGATTATATAGTATGTAGTTAATAATGCTACTACCCTTAAATCCCTCTTACATAGGGTCTCTATTTTTCTCAGTTCTGTCTCACAAAGGAATGTCTCTCTAATTTATACATTTGAATTTATGCCATTCTCAATATGGGATGATTTTAGTGTATGACTTAAGTGAATTTGTGAGACACAATGGAGCAAGTTTTATCCAGTTCTTTTTGAAAGGAAGAGCCATTAAGAAGATACAAAATATAGAAGTTTCTCCTAATGGAATTTATTTTGGCAGGATCAGGATTGAAAATACAAGGAAACGAGAATTAAGAAAGCAGGTTAAAGGTAAGGTGATCTCTTGATGTCTGCAGCATTAAGGTAGCATTTTATGGGAAAACTGGTCCCAGCTTCTTTCTATCTCATACCTTTATTTTCTTAAGGTTTTTCTCTGGTTTAGGATTGTATTATATCCAATAAATCCTCCCCATTCATAATGATTTTTAGAATGTAATGCTCTCCAATAGGAATATGGCATTGGTTCTTTAACTGGTTTTGTTAGGCCTTGAAGAAACAACAACTAACTTTTCTAAGTTTCAGCATCTTCTTTTAAAAGGGGTGGAGGAGAGAATGAGATTAGTTATTTAAATGTTTTCCAGCTCTAAAATGTTATGGTTCCTATTATTAATCTAAGTATGTTGCTCTACACATTCAATCAACCTTAGAAAATGCTACCTTTATTCCAACTAAATTGCCTTTAGAGCCAATTCTTGATCTATCCAGGAACATGGAGCTTATTACTTTACAGCCTCAATAATGCCATCCTTTCTGTCTTTACTTTTACCTTTGTTAGAATTCACTGTCTTTTCCTTCCCACCTCTGCCAGGTTTCTGGAGTGCTCTGTTTGAAATAATGGCCTGTGGACCCTCTTAGCAGAGATGAGAGACAGAGGGTAGGGAGACCATATTGCATATAGGATCTGCAGGTTTGTGTGAAGGCCAAGGAGGAAAGGGCAATGCAGGGAAGAGGACAAGAGGTTAGGTCTTGGATAAAGACTGTGTGAGTTCAAATTCTGGCTTTTTTGTGTGCCTCAATTTCTTTAAGTATAATGAGGATAATAACTCCCATAGGACTGTGTTAATGAGATTATGTATTTGATAATGATCTTAAGACAATGCTTCATTCTTAGTAAGCATTAAATAAACGGTAGCTAGTATTAACAGTTATTTTTTTAAAGGGTTTTTACTAAGAACCTTTTAAGGATTAAATCAGGAAGCAGGCTGTCCCTGTAAGATCACTTATATGCCATTTGAGCGTAAGTACAGTAATTAATAGCACGATCTTCATTTTATGTGGTAAATGTGACTTAGCAGAAACTAATACGACTGAAGTCGAAGACTGAATAAATGTAAATTTATTCTTTAAGATTAATATTTTGCTTATTACATATATATTTTGTATGTTCCCATGTGTGTCTAATGTGTTGTTATTCTTTATACTTTAGAGTCTAAAATATACCCTATGATAGGAAATTAGATTTGGAAGTCACCACATAAAAAATCTCATTCATCCCTTGTCCTTTACGGAAGACATGATCCTGAAAGGTACCCAGTTGAGGAAGAAGTAGGAATTGAGGACCTGAAATCCCTATTAAGTTGTATACAATTGGAGACATTTTCTATTTTTAAAATGACTATAATGGTTAGAAATTCATCTTTCTATTCATGTCATAAATGTATTTCATTTTTGATACTTTAACATTAGTAGATTTCAGTGTGTTAAGAAAGTGTATATTTAGTTCAGAATTCCATAATTGTTCCTGATGGTAGATATTCAATACAATAGAATCTCTGAAGCCTTTAAAAATGACCCTTTCAAATAGATAAATATCTTTGCCCATAAACATTTACTTTGTAGGTGTCATTACTTTGTAGGTGTTTTAAGTCACTTTTGTTTTTCTTCTGAAGTGTTAAAAATTACCAGTGGCCTTATTCCCAGGGAGAAGGGAAAGGGAATGAGATAACCAAACATGTGTACAAGGTTAATTTTTTAGGTGATACAAACTCCAAAAATTATTATTTTTATGAGCTTTCAAATTTTCCGTTAGACAAATTTGTTTCATTTCTGTTATAAGATTATGTATATTAACTGAAAAATTTATAAATGATAGTATAGACAATTATTTTATACTTTGGTAACTTTACCAACAAATCCAGTAGGAGATAATGGCCTTGAAACACAAATAAAGGCACAGAAAAATATTTTTGACAGCAAAAGATTGCAAAAACAGACACTTTAAATTGTTTCTGAAAGCATGGTTGTTTAATCTGTGATAGATATAAGATAAATGGTATTTAACCCTTATTCCTGAAATCATAAACTCTTTATTTTTTTATTTGTAAAAGGTCTTATGATTCTTACTTGCAGGCCATGTGATGGCTAATACTGAGTGTCAACTTGAGTGGATTGAAGGATACAAAGTATTTATCCTGGGAGAGATATTCCTTCTAAGGTGAAGGATAAGTTGCTGTATTTGGCCTCTCCTACATCCAAAAAAGAGGCACAATGCCTTGTGGGCCTATTTGCATTTTGGAGGCAACACATTCCTCATTTGGGTGTGTTACTCCAGCCCATTTATTGAGTGACCTGAAAGGCTGCCGTTTTGAGTGGGGTCCAGAACAACAGAAGGCTCTGCAACAGGTCCAGGCTGCTGTGCATGCTGCTTTGTCACTTGGGCAATATGATCCAGCAGATCTAATGGTGCTTAAGATGTCAGTGGCAGATAGGGGTGCTGTTTGGAGGCTTTGGCGGGTCCCCCATAGGTGAATCACAGAGGAGGCCTCTAGGATTTTGGAGCAAGGCCCTGACATCTTCTGCAGATAACTGCTCCCCTTTCGAGAGACAGCTCTTGGCCTGTTACTGGGCATTGGTGGAAACTGAACATTTGACTATATGTCATCAAGTCACCATGTAACCTGAACTGCCTATCACGAACTGGGTGCTTTCTGGCCCATCTAGCTATTAATTGGGTCGTGCACAGCAGCATACCATCATGAAATGGAAGTGGTATCTACGTGATCGGGCTCGAGCAGGTCCTGAAGGCACAAATAATTTACATGAGGAAGTGGTGCAAATGCCCATGGTCCGCACTCCTGCCACCCAGCCTTCTCTCCCCCAGCCTGCACCGATGGCCTCCTGGGGAGTTACCTATGATCAGTTGACAGCGGAAGAGAAGACTAGAGCCTGGTTCACATATAGTTCTGCATGATACTGAGGCACCACCTGAAAGTGGACAGCTGCAGCACTACAGCCCTTTTCTAGGACATCCCTGAAGGACGGCGGTGAAGGGAAATCTTCCCAGTGGGCAGAACTTCAAGCATTGCACCTGGTTGTGCACTTTGAATGGAAGGAAAAATGACCAGGTGTGTGATTATATATGGATTCACGGGCTGTAGCCAGTGGTTTGACTGGATGGTCCGGGACTTGGAAGAAGCATGTTTGGAAAATTGGTAATGAAGAAATTTGGAGAAGAGGTATGTGGATGGACCTCTCTAAGTGGTCAAAAACCGTGAAGATATTTGTATCTCATGTGAGTGCTTACCAACAGGTGATCTCAGCAGAGGAGGATTTTAACAATCAAGTGGATAGGATGACCCGTTCTGTGGAAACCTTCAGCCTCTTTCCCCAGCCACTCCTGTCATCATGCAATGGGCCCATGAACAAAATGGCCACGGTGGCAAGGATGGAGGTTATGCATGGGCTCAGCTACATGGACTTCCACTCACCAAGGCTGACCTGGCTACGACCACTGCTGAGTGCTGTCAGCAGCAGAGACCAACACCAAGCCCTCGATATGGTACCATTCCTTGGTGTGATCAGCCAGCTGGTGGCAGGTTGATTATATTGGACCTCTTCCATCATGGAACGGGCAGAGGTTTGTCCTCACTGGAATAGACACTTATTCCAGGTATGGGTTTGCCTATCCTGCACACAATGCTTCTGCCAAGACTACCATCCATGGACTTACGGAATGCCTTATCCAACGTCATGGTATTCCACATGGCATTGGCTCTGACCAAGGCACTCACTTTATGACTTAAGAAGTGCGACTCATGCTCATGGAATTCACTAGTCTTACCATCTTCCCCATCATCTTGAAGCAGCTGGATTGGTAGAATGGCGGAATGGCCTTTTGAAGTCACAACTGCAATGCCAACTAGGTGACAATCCTTTGCAGGGCTGGGGCAAAACTCTCAAGGGTGGAAGTGGAAGTGGCACCACTTACCATCAACCCTAGTGATCCACTGGCAAAATTTTTGCTTCCTGTTCCTGCAACATTACGTTCTGCTGGCGCAGAGGTCTTAGTTCTGGAGGGAGGAATGCTGCCACCAGGAGACACAACAATGATTCCGTTAAACTGTAACTTAAGATTGCTACCTGGACACTTTGGGTTCCTCCCACCTTTAAGTGAACAGGCTAAGAAGAGAGATACAGTGTTGACTGGGGTGATTGACCTGGACTATTAAGATGAAATCAGCCTACTACACTGCAACGGAGGTAAGGAAGAGTGTGCATGGAGTACAGGAGATCCATTAGAGTATCTCTTAGTATTACCATGCCCTGTGATTAAGGTCAATGGGAAATTATAGCAGCCCAATCCAGGCAGGACTGCAAGTGATCCAGGCCCTTCATGAATGAAGGTTTGAATCACTCCACCAGGAAAAATAAAAAAACAAAAAAACACAACCTGGTGCTTGCTGAAGGGAAAGGGAATACAGAATAGTTAGTAGAAGAAGGTAGTCATCAATACTAGCTATGACCACGTGGCCAGCTGCAGAAATGAGGACTGTAATTGTCATCAGTCTTTCCCTTTCTTTTGTTAAAAACATGTTTGTGTATATATATACTTGTACTAAGAAATTATCGTCATTGTATTTCCTTTCTCCTTTATCATGTGACATAAGATTTATTGAGTTCACATCAGCATTTAAGTATTGTTAACTTTATGTAATAGTATTTGGGTTGGAGATTGGTGCGTTTCCGGTTGTACGAAGAATAGTTGTACTATGTTGGGCATAATTATGACCTTGTTATTGTCTTTATTTAAAGATTATGTATGATTTCAGGAGATGTGTATGGGTTCAAGTTGACAAGGGGTGGACTTGCTTTGGTTAATACTGAGTGTCAACTTGATTGAATTGAAGGATGCAAAGTATTGATCCTAGGTATGTCTGTGAGGGTGTTGCCAAAGGAGATTAGCATTTGAGTAGGTGAGCTGGGGGAAGGCAGACCCACCCTTAATCTGGGTGGGCATCATCTCATCAGCTGCCAGCACAGCCAGAATAAAAAAGCAGACAGAAAAATGTAAAAAGAGAGACTGGCCTAGCCTCCCAGGCTACATCTTTCTCCCATGATGGATGCTTCCTGCCCTTGAACATCGGACTCCATGTTCTTCAGTTTTGGAACTTGAACTGGTTCTCCTTGCCCCTCAGCCTGCAGATGGCCTATTGTGAGACCTTGTGATCATGTGAGTTAATACTTAATATACTTGCCTCTCTCTCTCTCTGTGTGTGTGTGTGTGTGTGTGTGTATATATGAAATATAATGGAATATATATGCAATATAATGGAGAATATATATATGCGATATAATGGAATATATATATGCAATATAATGGAATATACATATATTCCATTAGTTATTGGATATTATTCCATTAATTATTGGAATATATATATTCCATTATATATATGTGTGTGTATATATATATTCCATTAGTTCTGTTCCTTTAGAGAACCCTGACTAATACAAGCCTATTGTTGGGAAATGATCAAGGAGGAAATGATGACACAATCCTTCTCTTAAGGATAAAATTTAACGTCATAACTGCTAACATTTGTTGATGTTTATGATATACTGGGCACTGTTCCTCTTTTTGACATATTTTTTGACATATTTCTCTCAAATCCTCTGTAAAATAAGTACCGTTATTACCAACATACCCTTCTTGCAGGTGAAACTGCTGACACATCAAGACATTGCCATAGTTCAGACAACTAGCAAGTAGTAGAGTTTGGATAGAGGTTCAGGCAGCCTGGTTCTAGAGCCTTCTTCCAAAGAAAGGATTTTTGAGGAGCTCATTAATTTTGGAGGCATCTGTAACAAGAAACAAATACCTTTTAGGTAAAAGAGTAAATTAGAGTGTACATTGTCTTGGAAGGCTAAGAATCAGAGTATGGTAGGTAGTATCACAGGCTTCAGAGCAGTTTAGAAAAGGCCACTAGATTTGGTGATTAGTAACCTTTTGGGAAATGGTTATTCAATAATGTTGCAAAGCTGGAGAAAATGACCTAAGCATGAGTTTTCATGATACTTTCTAGAAATTTTCAATATGCTTTTTATTTGTCCATTAGCTATTCTGGACTTTAATATACAAATGCTCCTTGACTGATGATAGGGTTACATCTTCATAAAACCATCATAAGTTGGAGATGTCATAAGTCAAAAATGTATTGAATATACCTAACCTACTGAACATCATTGCTTAACCTAGCCTACCTTATACGTGCTCTGGAGTCTTATATTAGCCTATAGTTGGGCAAAGTCATCGAACAAAGCCAATTTTATAATAAATGAATATAAATAATTTTGTAATTATATAATAAGTGTTGATTATCTCATGTAATTTATTGAATGTGATGTGGGAGTGAAAAACAATGTTTGGGTATTCAAGGTACGGTTTTGACTGAATGCATATAACTTTCACACTAAAGTTAAAAAATTGTAAGTCAAACCATCATAAATTGGGGACTATCTGTATTCTGTCAGCTAGATAGTATTTTGAACTTAAGCAAACATGGTGTAGATTGTTTTAATAAATCCTGTGTTATTCTCAAGGGAAATCTATCAGAAACAGGCAGTCTAATTTTGGATTTGTTTGGGGCAATAGAATTTGTTGAAAATATCAAATGCAATGATTAAATTAGTTCTAGATGAAAAGGCAGATATTGCTGAAAAGTTTAATGTGAAAAGTGAAAAAAACTTTGATTTGTAATATGTAATCAAGAAGAAGCAACTCATTCTTGGGTGTGATAATGAGTTGAGAAATATTCATGTGGGTGTTTTGATGATTAATTAGTTGATTTGTGTAAAATGCTTGAAGAAAAAAAAAAGTATGACGTAAATTCTAAATATTATTATTTTATTCCCAGAATTCTGTCAGGCTTCATGGTCTTTTTCCCGTGTGCTCATCTTTCTGCACCTGTTGCCAGAACTTCATTCTACAGCAACACTGCTTTTGCTGTCCTTTGAAATCTGTTCCAAATTTTTCTCTTGTAACTCTCGCCCCATGCTGTTACTTGGTTATCTAATTTTGTATAGACCTTTCTAATAAGATGCTTCTTACTGATCTCTCTCTCTCTCTCTGTCTCTGTCTCTGTCTCTGTGTGTGTGTGTGTGTGTGTGTATTTGTATGGAGAATACACAATCAAATGTATTTCCTCATCTCAATGACTTACGTAAAATAACATTATCTATTTAATTTTCCCCCAGAATCAATTGCCCCAAAATGGCTTATACCCTGAGAACTTAATATACTTTTAAAAATATCTTTAAAGTTTAGTGAGCTATTTTTATTGTTGTTAATTTTTTAAGTCCTTTTTTTCTGTAGCCTGGAAGCTTTTTCCTTGATCATTAAAGTAGGAACCTCAATTTGAAAACTTGCCACAACTGAACATATGTCCCCTCTTGTATTAGAAAGAGTTACAATTTTAATATCTTTTTCAAATTATGATTTATGTCTCTTTAGGAGAGATTCTGTTTGTTTTTTAAAGAACCAAGCCAAAATTTTTTCTTACTTTATAATTAATGGGCTTACATTTATTTTTTA